CAAAAATGTCTCCCAGGACATGTGGGGGGTTCGCCGTTGTCACCTGAAGCTGCCAGCACCCAGCAAGCTCAAAGAACTATGTAGCTGAAAAATGACCATGTCCCTTAAGTCCAGAACGCTACCGTGAAGCACACCGCTCATGCAGGTGCTGCTGGGGGAAAAGCCTTCTACTGACACCGGGAACCCCCTTTGACTGAGATGTGTCTCACCTTCAGAGGCGCTGAAACATGAGGAACACCTAGGCATCTTGGAATCATGTGTGCCCGGCAGAGGTCTGCTTGGCAGGAGCAGGGCCAGGTTGCTTTGAGAGCAGATCAGGAATATACAGGTGGTGGCCACTGGATTAAGTGCTTACTTTATGCAATGGAAAGCTGATAGATAAAGGATGTTGACAATGCCATTCCTCTTTATAATTAAGAAGATAATTTAATTACTGCTATTAAAACCTAAGCTTCTTCCCCACGTGGGCTGCTTTTAACAAAATACCTTTGGTTCTGCTGTTTCCCACACACAGACCTGGCAGCAGTTAAATAGAGACGCCAAGACTCCAAGGTTTCATCTTGTGAACCCATCTGGTTTGAAGTAGCACAACAAGCAGGAAAGGGAATTGAATCAAAGGCACGATTTGTGTTTTTTTTTTTTTTTTTTAATACAGAAAATGTGTGAGGTAGACCAGGAAACAGCCCTATTCTCCCCTCTCCGGCCTGGAGGCTATGGCCCTGCCTACTCCTAGCCGGGCCCAGGTCAGGACACAGAGATGGCTTAGAGGGTAAGGGCGGTTCGGAAGGACATACACAGGGGTCAGAGTGGTGCCCACGCTAGTGAGCCAACCCACCAGGGACCCACAGTTCACATAGGTTTCCTCTGTTCGTGGCACAGGGCAGAGTTTAGAACCGCAGTGTTAAGAGGAGAGAGACCTGGGCCTGTAGAACACAGGTGAGTGCTCTCCCTCATGCCCTGCATGGCCCAAACCTTCTGCCCTCTCTCCCAGCTCCAGGTTGGGCCACACTCCTGCCACCACTGAAATCATCCCTTTCCCTCTAGAAGATGCTCCGAGGCCCCCACTCCCCCTCCATCTGCCCTGGGCAGTTGTGGCCTGTAGAATTCTCCAGTGCACCTGGGGGGTCAGTGCCTCATGCATGCCCCACCATCATTGACATATGGGCCCCACACACTGAATTTCCCCTGCTGGAGGGAAGGGAGGCTGGAGCCCCACCACTACCAGTACCCCTCACTCGGCCCTCTGCAACTCTAGGCTCAAGGTAGCACCGAAAGACTCAGTCTCAGCACACTGTATCTATACCCCAAATGCATCCCTGGGGGAGATTGTAACCAAAACCTCCAAAGGGTTTGCTGCCAGAGGTCTTTGCACACATCTGCCTACAGCTCACCCAGTTCACCAGTCTCAGGAGCTTTCCCTTGGTTTTTCTCAAAGATATACAGTGACACAGGCCTTCTACAGTGCAGAAGGAGTGTCCCGCCCTGGTCCTTTCTTGAACCAGTGGTGGACCTATGAACAATACCCTGTGTCCTGTGCTCCCCTTAGGGTTCTTATGTCACCCAAAACATAGGAGAGGAGGCAGCAAGTACAGAGCTTGCCAGGGTGCCTGGCACTTGCAAAATGCCCGTCATTTGTGTCGGTAGAGACCTACATGGCAGCGCAGAGTTCCCAAGCCTTCCAGGGAGCTGAGTGCATATATCAGCATTAGAGATTCCTCTGAGGAAGGCAGTGCAGCAGGCCCTGTCTTTCCTGTCATGACAGGGTTACCCAAGTGCTAGCCAGGGCCCTTGGGTTCCTTAGATCCCTTACGTGGGACCCAAAAGCATGATGAGGGGAGTGGCCAGGCCCCACCCTCCAATACTCAAGAGTTTATCTATTTCACACACTGGATGTCCACTGTTTTTTGAAGGGCTTCAAGGACTGGAGAGTCTGGGGTCCTTTCTGGTCCAAGCTCTTTTCCTATCCACTGGATTCCAGGAGACAGGTGAGGGGAGCAGAACAGGCCCCTGTAGAACTTGAGGATGGTGTTCTGGGGGGGATCCAACAGCTGAGGGGTAAGCCCAACTAGAGACAGTTTGGGTGGGACTGCACTGCACAAGCCTTGGAGGAGGAAAAGGGTGCCCAAAGCAGGGAAACAGGAGGGGAAGGAGAGAATGAGCACAGAAGGAAGCTGCTGGCAGAGTTGAGTGCTAGGGAATTTGGGGACAGTCCAGGGTAGCTCCCATAGGACTGTCAGCCCCACACCATCAATAGAGCCACAGCACCTGCGGCCGAGGAGTTCCCTAAGCACTTGCCGAAGGAATGAGTGACTAGGAGAGGGCTCTAGTGCCTTTCTGAAACACAGCCCCCAACAGAAGTTGGGTGTCCTCTGTCAGCACTTCCCTCCACCCCGAGGTGAAAGGCAGGAAGACAGCAGCCCAGTGACGAATGACCTGCATCCAACATACTGCACACAGTAGGCCCCGCTGAAGCACTGGAGCATCCCAGTGTCCATCCTAAGACAACTAAGTAGTTGAGCCTGGCAAACACACAAGGAGTAGAAGCAGCAGCCTGGGCGCCTCGCTGCATGATGATCCTATTTAGGATCCTGTTTCGAAGTTCGTAGTCAGCCAAACTCCTAGTTGCGAGGAGATGAGAAAACCTGTGCTTTGGGGGGAGCTGTTTCCCAGCATGGAGAAAGCCCTCATCTGCAGTGTCCAGTGGGTTGACCAGCAAGAAATGCTATCCCAGTGTGTGGAACAGAGTCAGTGAGGAACTGAATGTTTAATTTTTTTTATTTTAAGTCTCTAAAATACAAATGACTTTTATGGCTGGTGGCAACCTGGTTGGACAGTGGCTCTCAGTCTCAAGTGAGTGATGATTGCAGCAGAGGACGGGTATACACAAGGCCACACACTGGGCAGCATCTCCCTCCACCTGCACAGGCATCAGCACCATCTTCAGTTCAGAGGGGTTCCTCACTTTGAATGTGAACAAGGCAAAACAGAGCCCTCTCCAACTGCTCTCCCTCAGTGCCTCCCACCCCCACCACATACACAAAGGCCCAGGTGTTGAGAGTGTGCAAAGTGGCTGCATTCCACTGGTGGCAGAGAGAGGTCTGACACTCACAGTGTGCCCCGGAGAGGTGCCCAGCACCCACAAGGGAAACTGGCTTTGCAGGGCAAACCACATCCTGTCTGTCACTCCTGCAGATCTCCCAGGACAAGGAGGGGCATGGGGTGCATTTGTGGTGCAAATGTGAAACTGGTTTCCAGGAGCAATAGGAACCCCCTGGTGCATGTGGCTCATCCAAAGGGAGACCTACGGTAGTAGGGGGCTGGATGTGGTTCCAGGATGTGTGTCCAGAGTTACCTTAGGAATGTGTCCCTGTCCCTGATGCTGTGTCTATGGAGCCTGCTGGCCACTTGGGCAGATGCTGCAGGAGTCTTCACACCCTGGCGCTAGTGGTCCCTTTTGAAAGGTTTGGGGGAGGGCTCTGATTCCAGGGCTCACCCCTCAGCAGCCTCGCCAAATACACCCTCCCTTTCTAGACCCACCTCATGGGGACAGTTCCTGCTGTCCAACTGCTAAGTTTGTCCACTTCACACCACCAGGACTAATGCATCTGGAAAGAACACATCCAGTCCAGGCAAATATGGGGAACTGCCTATAAGTGCCCTCAGGGAGGTGGCACCCAGGCTGCTACAGCCACGTGGCAGTGACGGCCACAAACACACTGAGACAGGCACAGAAGGGAGACAGAACCTCAGTCACTTGCATTTCCCGTTCATCCTGTGTCTAAGTTAGCAGCCTTGACGCTGACCGGCTGTCAGCTTTTCCTGCCTGGACTCAGGAAGGGTGGGATCAAAGGGTTCCTCTGGCCCCATCCCTGGTGTTGAGTTAATGGGGAGAGGTCCCCCACCACCTGGCTTGGGAAAAATGCTTTCCACACAGGTTTTAAGATGACTCATGACCACTGTCATTGTGCCCCCTGTCCAGGTCACTCCGTGGGGACACTCGCAGTGAATAAAGTCAATAAACAGGGGAAAACACAGGCTGGACTAGGGCCAGGTCAGGGGAAATGCTGGAAGAGCAGAACTGCCTGTTTTTGTCTTTCTGCCATCAGAGTCAGGGCTTCTCCCTTTCCCAGCCCCGCTGACGGGGGTCTCGTCACAGCGTCATTCTCAGATCCCAGGAAGTGCAAACAGAGCAGCATCCGCCCGGTGCGGGCCCGCGTTCCCGAGGAGGGACACTGAGCGGTGAGGACCTCAGGTAGAAGGTCTGGGTGCGCACCTGGGGTTTGGGGCGGGGCCCGGGGCGCGAAAACTGGGGACAGCTGAGACGGGAAGCCGGGGTGGAGGCGAGGAGGGAGGAGGGGCGGAGGCCGGGCCCGGAGGAGGCGGGGAAAGGACGGACAGAGGCGTGGCCCGGACGGGGCTGGGGGGGGGGGCGCAGCGTCGGGAAGAAGGTGTCCGAGGGGGCGGGGCGGGCAGGACGCCGCCGGGGTAGCCGCTTTGCTCGCGACCCGCTCTTCGGTCCCTGGAAGCTGCGACCTCTGACACCTGGGCTCGTTCTCCCCGAACACCCCCGTGCGAATAAGTGGACACGCAAGCAGCTTCCAAAAGAGGCGAAACCGTTTATCAAGTCGGCGCGGGCGCGGTATCTACAGTATCTACACATATCTACACGTATCTACACCGCCTGAGACTCGGCTCTTAGGTCGTCTACACTGCAACTGCCGGCTCGGCAGGGGCTGGGGGGTGCGGTCTCGCGGAGAACAATAAATACCGTTTCCTTCTGCCGCTGACCGCCGACCCGGCGTTTGGCACTGCGGGAGGGCCCCGGGCCGTCGGGCCGGCCGCGCGGGGCTCGGCGGGGAGCCGGGCTCTGCCGGCCGCGGGGCTCCGAGGGCTTCGCGGCGGGGGCGCGGGGGCTGTCCGTCGACGGCCGTGGGGCTGGCTGGACCGGCCGCGACGGCCCTCGGGGCTGCGCGGGGCGCCGCGGGGCGGGGGCGCCGGCCTTATCTCGGGCAGTAGTCGTAGGAGCCGGGGGGCGCGGCGCCGGCCGACGAGTACATGTTGGCGGCGGCCGCGGCGGCCGCAGCGGCCGCGGCGGCGGCGGCCGGGCTCACGGCCGGGTGGTGGTGGTGGTGCGGGTGCGCGTGCGGGTGCGGGTGCGCGTGCGGGTGGTAGCCGTGGCCGCGGAGGCCGGGCAGCGGGTAGGGCGCCGGCCGGGCCTTGGCCCGAGGTAGTGGTCGTAGGCGGCGGCCGGGTACTTGTAGGGGGGGTGGTGCAGCGGCTCGGGCGCGCCGGACGCCTCCAGGCGCAGCTCAGGATGCGGGGGGCTGGGCCGGCCTCCGGGAGCGCCCGGCAGCGGGACGAGGCCGCCGGCCCCGCCGGCCCCCGGCAGTGCGGGGCTCAGAACCCGCGCCAGAAGCTGCGGCGGGGGCGCCGGGTCCCCGAGCACTGCCGGCCCGCCCGCGTCTCGTTCGAATTCCCGCCGGGCCTCGGCCGCGTCTGCGGGGAGAGCCGAGGAGCGCGCGCTGTGGCCGGGGCCGCGGAGAGGACCCGCGAGGACCCGCAGACCAGCCGAGGGCCCGGGGCGGGGAGCGGGCGCGAGGCCGCACTCCCGGGCGCTCCCGCCCCTTCTCTCCGAACCAGCCGGAGACCCGGGCTCTCCCCTGGGGCCCGCGCCCCTCCGCGGGCAGCAGCCGGGGTGGGCGGAGCGGGCGGGGCGCAGCCGTCGGGCCGGGCGGGCGAGTGCGCGCTTGCCCGCCGCCACCGCCGTTGTGCAACCGGCGCGAAGGCCGCGAGCGCCACGGGGGCGCAGGCAAGGCGGGGCGCGGCCGCCCGCCCGGGGCCCTACGACCCGGGTCCTACCTTTCTCCACGCCGTTGGGCTGCGTGGGGGTGGCCACCGGGTTCCGCGAGCGCGCAAAGGCGCTCATGAGCGGCAGCGCACCGGGCCGGTGGTTTCGGGGCCTGTGAGGAGGAGGCAAGCAGCGGGTCAGGGCAGCGCGGGGGCCACGAGCCGAGCCGGGCTGCTCGCTGTCTCCGCGGAGCGCACTCACCAGTCCTCAGGGTCGCAGTCTCGGAAGCCTTTGGCGAAAGGGTTACTGGCAATCTTGAGCTGTGTAATCTGCAGGGAGAACGGGAGTACTAACAAAATGAGCCAACCGCTCAGGGGCCACCCGACCTTCAGGGTGGAAAGTGCTAGCAGGAAGGGAGCCTCTGCACTCCTCAGACATGGAGGGGCCGCCGCCTGCCCTCTTGCCCAGGGTTGTGCCTCTTGGGTTACCAACTCTGGGTGCCTTCTCTTTATGTAGGGAATGCCTCTATTCTACCCCAAGCCGTCTCCTCCACTCCTCCACATCCCTACAGAGGTAGAGAGCTGAGGGACTCCCTAGGAATCTGGGTAAACTGATGGGGCGGTTCCGGAATGGTTTGGAAAACAGACTTTAAGGCCACAGTGACAGTTGCCCCTTGAGAGATCAACCTGATAGGAGGCTGGACCCACTTGCAGCAGAGGGGAGGGGGCTGTTGAGATTCTGGGGGTGAGGCACCAGCAGCACTGTGTTCCACAGGGACCCGAAGTTTCCTGGTCCAAACCTGTCCCTCAGGCAGCAAGTAAAAATTGCACCCCTTCCCAGAGTGCTGAATTCGCAGGTCCCCAGGTCTCACCCGGTGGTTCTGGTAGGCAGTGACCGCTGTAAACCGTGTCTCCTCGAACACAAAGGTTTTGAAGTTCTCCTCTGCATATTTCTCACTATCTTTGCGTGGGTCCACGTAGACAACGTGGAAGCGAGGCTGGTATCTGTGCATGGAGTTGAGAATAATCTGGAAGGCAAGGCAGCAAAGTCAGCGCTTATGATATGGGCAGAGGTCCAGATAACAAGTGAAGTTCCCAAAGAATTTGGGCAAAACCCTTTACTCCCCAAATGAAGCTGGGTTACGTGGACCAAGAGGCAACTGCACCAACTGGGGACCACCAGAAAAGATGCTCTTAATGGCAAAAGAGCAGGTCTTCAATTCTTTTTCCTTAGGTCCCTGAGAATTGAGGTGGGTGGTTGCAGGTTTGAGGCTGTATCACCGACCTGGTTTCTGCAAAGTCTCCCGCCCCTACCTCTTTCTCAGTTAAAAAAAAAAATGCCAGCAAAATATCAGTATCAGGAGGGGGCGAGGAAGGAGGGTAACCCTCTCTCATAAGCTGGAGGCCTACCAGGCTCTGGGAACCCCTGCTTCACCACACCCTCATCCACACCCCAAGCTGCCCAAGCTCTGCCTCTGGCTCTGGTGGGCAGCGACTCCAGAGGGGCTGCACCAGGACAGTGTGGAGTCTGGGGAGGGGAGTGCTCACGTGGCCATTGTCATCCAGCAGGTTGTTGGTCAGCTTGAGCTTGTCAAAGGATACAATTTGCTTCATCCATTGTGCACCCTTGGCTGGGGAGTCCGGGTGATAGTGTACTCGGCCTGGCGTGGCAGGATCGGCCTTCCCAGCCACCAGCCAGGAGGAGCTGTGGAAAGCGTACCTAAGGCAGCACCAGAGCAAGGGTCATGTCACATTGGGGTGAATGAGAAGGGCCTTGCGGCGAATGAACCGTGAAAGTACTTCTGATGTCTCCCCATCCATGAAATCAAACAGCCACCGGGGCTGGAAGTTTTTCCAAGGGGGAGTGTGGAGAAAATAGAAAACTCCCCGTCCTGGTACACAAGCCGTCCTGCTGAAGCAGGAAGCCAGGGAGGAGGAGGCCTTGTGCTTGCTGCTGCTGCTGCCGCTGCTGCCGCCGCTGCCGCTGCTGCCGCCACTGCCGCATTTCGCTGCACCCGGGTCCACCCACCATGGACCTCCCGGCTGGTCTCCAGAGTCTCCGGATTTGGCCTCCGCAGCCTCAGGCACAGGGCGGTTCAGGTTCTCTTTATTAATTGCTGTTAATTGTCCAGGCGGCTGAGGCCCGCCCTGCATAATCTCTCTCGGGCGGGCACCCCACCTTTCCTGCCTGGCTCCTGGGGCCCAGCATCTCCGGGCATGGGGGAAGGGGATAAGGTGCCCACGAGGGAGACATGAAAGGCGGCGGGATATGCGGGTCTGCCTGCCTAGAGCCAAACTAGCCAGGATGGGAAGCTCTCTGGGACCAACAGCGGGGAGGGGTGCAATCAGCCTGTGTCTCCTTCCGGGAATTCCTGAGAACCCATGGGAGTGGGGTTCCTTCGTCATCTGGGATTTGACAGGGCTCAGGGGTGAACAGGTCGGTGGGGCAACCAGGGCAGGTGCCTGGAACCATCTGGTCACTAATGACAAAGGACACCCTCGAAGCCATTATCAGTCAGGGACCAGCGGCTTCCTGGGGTGCCCTCCCAGGCCTGGCACGCACACACTAGGTGCTCACCGGTAGCGCTTGTCATCCACAGGTATGAAGTCCATGAGGAGCATGTAGTCGGCCATGGGGTCCATGCCAAAGAGCTTCACTTGGAACGTGGGGAACATACGCCTGAGGGTGTCAGAGTCTCAGGTCACCTCAGGTGGGGGAGGGCAGGGCCACCCCCACTTTGAGCAGTCCAGGACCACAACACCGCTGCTCAGCCCTTCCCTCTGGCCTCCCTGTGGCTGCTATGTTCAGTAATCCCTGAATCTCATCTCCCTCATACAGCGGCTGGAACCCAACTGGTCCCCTGCCCAGCCTCAGGCAAGTAGAGTGGCAAGGCAGTCCCTTTCCCCCTTTTATTGAAACACACAAAAAACAGCTAACTCAGCGCTACAGCTGAGCCTCCACACCCCAAACATGGCCTATTATGTCTCCTGTCACCTCTGCCTGCATAGACTTGGCCTAGCAATCGCCAATTCCCAACTGGTAGCTCCAACTGGTGGCCCCTCTGGTTTGGAGCGAGCCTCAGCTGGCAGCACCCTCACAGCAGGACTCCTGAGACACAAAGGCCCAGAGATTCTCAGGCCTTGGCAGAGCCTCCCCAGCTTGAACTGAGCTGCTCCCAGATAGGCTAGAGCAAAGTGAAACTGGGTAGTCTGTGTGATTCTGAGGCTGGGTCTGTGGCTACTTCCCAATCTCTCCAGCCAGGCCTACGCTTGGGAGTCCACAGCTCCAGATTCCGCCCAACTCTCGAACCCTCCGACCCAATGTTGGTGTCTTCCCACTTTCCTCCAGGACACATACGAGTCCCCATTCCCTACCCACACACCACAACCCCAAGACAGCTACTCAGGGCAGATGTGGCTTCACAGTCCTCTAACTCTCCCCTCCCTTGGACCGCCACTTGGTACCTATCAGGGCTTTGGAAAGGACATTCAGTAGCTCCCAGATGGGCTACTGCCGTGGGCCGACCCTGTCGCGGGCCGACCCTGTCGTGATTGCTAGCTGCTGGGCCCTGAGAAACACAAAGCTTGGCCCCCACCTGGCCTTCCCACCATCCCTTCTCACACACGACTCCCCCAGGGCGGTGGGCAGAAAACAGATGCCATGACGACCCTCCTGGACAGGCCTCCTGTCACCCCACCCCCACCTCTGCTGGCTGGAGGGTGTTTTGGTATGAAGGCTCCTGGGGTGAAGACCGGCCACCAAGAGAAGCCTGGTGAATACCCTTAGCGCTGGAGTCAGGCACAGGCCCCAGACTCCCCAGGGAGGACGGCCCGGCAGGGAAACTGCGGAGAAAGATCTGCAAACAGGCCCTGAGCTCCCCGTGGCTGTGCAGATATGGCGTTGGTGTCTCCGTGTGTACATTAGACACAGCCCGACACCCGCCTTTGTCTGCTGGTCAAATCGGTTGCATCGAAAAACTTGTTCCCCTTCTCTCTGGGTCCTTAAAACAAATACAGGCCAATTGGAAGGCGGTGGGGCCTGGCAGTGCCGGCAGGCCCCACAATCAAGCACAATTTAGGCCAAGAAAACTGGATAGCAGCCTCCATCAGAAAGAGCACACCGTTTTTACGGCTCTTAATTCTCTCCTAAAATTTTCCAGACAATTGTCAGGTACCTCTGACAATTAAGCTAGGCGAGCGAAGTGCATAGTTGCCTTTGAGGTGGGACTGCTTGGAGCCACCTGGCTGGCGAGGCCCCTCCGAAGCAGCAGCCTCCTCCCCAGCGGACGAGCTCCCCGCCGGCCGGCCGGGCGGCAGCGCGGCGTCCGGGGGCCGCGGGTCGGCGGCCGCCCCGCCCGGCTCCTCTCCGCCGCCTCCCGGGTCCCCGCGCCGGCCGTGCCCTCCAGCCCAGCGGGCGGGGCGGCGGTCGCCGGAGCCGGGACCGCGGGGAGCGAAGGAGCTGGCGGCGCCCACAGGGCCCCGCAGGTGGACGGGCGCCCCCACCCCGCTCCTCGGCCCCGCTCGCGCGGGTCGGACCAAGGCGCTGCCCGAACCCGCCCCGCGTGGGGCGCCGCGGGCGGGGGTCGCCCTGACCTGCCGGCCTTGGTGACGATCATCTCGGTGCCCAGCTGGTTGAACTCGTCCCACAGCGCCTTCATCTCCAGCTGCACGCTCACGCCGGCCACCTTCGCGTTCTTCCTCACCGGCGCCTTGGCGGCCGCGCACCTGGCCCGGGGCCCTCGGGCTCGGCCGCGCCGCTCGTGGCGGCCCCCGCGGCGGGCGCGAACGGGCAGGCGCGAGGCGGCGGCGGGCCGGGGGCGCCCGGGGCGGCGGCGGCGCACGGGTCGTAGCGCGGCGGCGGCGCCGGGGGCTCGCGCGGGCCGAAGGGGTCCGCGCCCGGCGACGCGGCGGCCGGGAAGCCCCCCGCGGCCCCCAGGCTGCTCAGGCTGCTGGCCGTGAAGGCTGCAACGTCGCAGAAGTGCGAGAGCTGCGTGAGCCACGGGCTGGACACGGCGGAGATCATGGCCCGCCGGCCGCCGCCCCGCCCCGCCGCCGAGGTGAGCGCTGCCCCGCGCCGCGGGCCGAGTGCCGGGGCCGCGCCGCGCTGCGCCCCGGGCCGGCCCCGAGGAGGCGTCCCGCCCCGCCCCGCCCCGCGCACCCCCACCCCGCGCCGAGACAATGGCCTCCCGCCCCTCCCCCGCCCCCGCCCCTCCCCCGCGCCGTCCCCTCCCGGCCCCCCGCCGCCCGCCCGCCCGCCGCGCGCCGGCCCGGGCCCCCCGACCGCCCGGACCGGCTCCCCGGGGCGCCCGGCCGCCCGCCGCCCCTCGCCGGGCCGCCCGCCCGCGCGGCGCGTCTCGCCCCGTCTCCGGGCTCTGCTTCTCCCGTTTGCTATTTCTCTACCTTTGTCTTCCTCCCTCAAAATCTCCCTCCTGATGATCTTCCTCCTCCCGCCCCTTTATTTGTTTTATTTCATGCCCCTGCTCCAGTTCCTTTCTGCCCCTCTCCCGTCCTCCGACTTTATTTTTCATCACTCCTTCTTTCCGTCTGCCTTCGGCCTCTTATTTCTGAATGCGCTTCTCTGTTATTAATGGTTTTTCCCTTAAAAGTAAACACAAACGGGAGTCTTTCTCTAACTTTTTAAAATGACTTAACTTCATAGCGTCGATTTTTTCACGCTCTTCTCTCTCGCTGCTGCCTTCTTTTTCATCTTTCCCTTTTCTGTGTTCTCCGCTCGCTCCTTCCCTCAACTTCTTTCCCTCCCATCTGCCCTCCCTGCTTTCCTCGCTCCCTTCCCCTTGTCTCTGGACTTTCTCGCGCTCCTCTGTGCTGCCCACTGTCCTCCCACCTCTCCAAGCTCCTGGCCACCTCTGCGCGGTGTTCTCTGGTCCTCCTGTCCTCTCCTTACCGGCCTCTACTTGCCCTCTTCTGGGCCTGTCTTTAGCCGCGGGAGGGTCTCTGCCGCTGGGTCCCCAGGCGGGAGGGTGCCCGGGGTTGGAGAGTGCACAGGATGGGGTGCTGGCCCCTGACTCTCTGTCCCAGAATTGAAGCTGGAAGCCTGGAGTCTTCCACACAAGAACTCCCTCCACCCGCTCTGCACCCCGCTCTGCCAACCCTCTTTTGTTGGAGCCCAGCAGCAGCAGCAGCAGCAGCAGCAGCAGCAGCAACCCGGGTCTGGGAGGGCAGGTCCATGTAGATGCAGCCAGAGGCTCACCTTCCATGTCCCTGGTGACGGTGCTGAAGTGCATCCCGGCCCGGGATCCCAGCAGCCCGTGAAGCTTCACCAGGTCGGTGGACCCGGGGCCCAGGCGAGTGGAGTTCTCAGAGGCCTTTGCTGCAACCAGAGAGGCGATGCTGAATGCGCTGGCCCGAGAAGACAGCGGGATTCGCGCTTCCATAGGCGCCCAGCGGCCTGGCCGGCGCCGCCTCTGACTGCGTGCACCCAGCAGCACCGAAGCCAGCCCAACCCACGGGACCGGGGGCGGGGGCCTGTGTTGCCACTCATAGCCTCCAGCTCCAGGCCCAGGGGATTTTGGTGTCATTAGCTCCCCACTCCCGGCCGGTGGAAGCGGAGGGACCCAGATGGGTGGAGCGCCCTTAGAGTGAGAGGTCGTGCTGCTTTTTCAAGCTTCTTGCCCCTCATCTCTGCTCCCAGAGACCTCCATGACCAGTCCCCCTCGAACATCCTGCTGCTACCGCCGAGGCCAGGGTTCCCTCTGTCCAGCGAAGGCGCTGTAGGCTTCTATAGCCCCAAAGGGGAGGCAACTACAAGAGAGCGCCCAGCCCCATCCCACAGCAGTCTGGCCACCGATGAAGAACATCGGGGCTGCCTGGGCCGGTCCTGCCCCTACCGTCGGCCTCTCCCACCTCCTCCTCCCCCACTGCCCCTGCACCTGGGTTCGGTTCCCACACCAGCTACAAGCAGACAACCCTAGAGACGTGGCGTTGTCCGTTCCTCGGTGCAGTTGAACAGGACCCAGCCCAGAAAACACCCCCAACCCCTTCAGTCGGCTCACTGTCTTGGTCAGGGACCCCGAACAGAGGGACACCGCCCAGGCCGCGCAGCCCGGGAGCCGGAGCGTCACGCGCACACGCGCGCACCGCCCGCCTCTGGCCAGGACGCTTATACATCCGGAGGGTGGGCAGTGCCCGCTCCTCCACGTCCCAGAGCACCGGCTGGGGGCAGGGAGGACCGGGGGCGGGGCCTAGAATGGCCCAGGGAGAGGAGGACAAGTCGGAGGAGTTCAAGCCGCCAGGTCGGATTATGCGTGGCCCCTCGCCACCCACCCCACAGCCTGCCTGCCTGGGGAAGCTCTGGTGCCTCGGTGCCCAACCAGGCTGAGCGCAGAGTGAGGCAAGGCTGCCGCAGAACTCAGGGCCCCTAGGCCTAGGCATCCCAGATGCTCAGGCCTGACTTGGCTTATGCCTTCCCCCACATGCTGCCTCTGGAACCTTCTCTGACCAGTTCCAGGCCGTCCATACCTTCCTGTCCAGCATCTCTCCAGCAAGGCATTAAGCCTTCCTGCCTCCTAGGAGCCTCTTTGACTTTGCACTGAGGTTCTGGCGATCAGGACCTTCACTTCCCAGGCCTCTCCTCCAGCAACCATGTTGTAGTCCTTTTCCAGTGCTTGATGGGGATGGCAGCTTCTCTCAGTGTTTCTACGGTGTTTCCCAGTATTTCCTTCTCTCAGAGCCTCAGTCCCTAGGCTGGGAGGTGGGGAAGAACCAGGAACTGCATACTGGGATGGGGAGAGATGGGGAACTGGTGCTAGTAAAAAGGTGTTGATTCTGAACCCAAGGTTCAGGGAAGCACCCCAGGCCCAGAGCGCTGCAGGAGAGCATGTTGCGTGACTGGAGTGTGGTGTGTGTGACCTCAGGTACAGTGAGTTCCTCCCTGCCCCCAGAATTGTGTCTGTAGCTTTGTAGATTGCAGAGAGTAAAGGAAGCTGTTGTCAGAGCATGTCTTCTGGCTCTGAGTGGCTGTTCAGAGCTGTGACAGTAATGGGGACTGTGGGGCCCAGGGGCAGGTCCAAGGAGGAGTGTGATCTGGGGACCAACAGGCTTATAGTTCCTATCCCTCTTCCCTGAGCTGGGCCAGCCCACTGCCTCCCATATCCCAGGAGGAGCTATCCCGGGCAGGGGGAGAGCCAGCTGAGAAAGGCATCCGTGATGGCAGATCATGCCAGTGCTGGAGCTCTGTACCCAGAAGACCACTGGGACCTATAGGCTGTGGTTGGGTCCCTGTGTGGGGAGCATGGTAGAGGTGGGACTCTGCCTATTGCTTTTCATTATCTGGGGTTAATGCTGCCCCAGCATGTGGGGGTGCTTGTGATTGCATCCTAAGCACCTGGGGAGCCTTCCATGTGAGACTGGGCACACACCTGAGGGCAGCAGCTAGATGTTGACCCCACAGATGCTGTTGATGTCCAGAGGGAGAAGTGAAAGTGGAAACCTCTACTTCCTAAAGAAGCTGGTCAGCTTCCTGGACCACTGTCCTGAGGTCACTAGCCTCTGTATCCACAGTGGTGGAGGGGAGAGCAGGGAGTTCCAGTGCCTCATTAACTCCTTAATGCCCAAGCTAGGACCTTCGGATCAAGTATACTTTGCTGGAGCAAAGAGAACTCTGGAGAGTGGGCAAACCCTGACTGGAGAGGGGAGTTGGGGAGAGGTAAGATGCCCTGGCTAGCTCCTATGTGGTTGTCCACTGCTCCTTTGGCAATTGCAGAACCCCACCCTGGGGTGCTCAATGCCCTGGTCCGCCTGGAGTTCTTAACTAAAGGGAGACAAAGGGACCCACAGCGCTGGAAGCCCTAAGCTACCAAGCCTTCACCACCTAACCAGCCTGGACTCCCCAGATCCTTCTTCTGTACCCCCAAGAGCTCTGCACCACACCCTCTTGTCACCTGCTGGCCCGGTGGCATCCCACCTGAGATGGTCACTGTGGCTAGCCACCATCCCACCCAGGGCCCTCCTGCAGAGGGAGTGCACAAGCACACTCCCATTCCTGCGGTACACGCTGCCCCACGGAAAGGCTTCCTCTTTCACCTGGACCGCAGGGCTCCCTTCTGCTTCGCTCCCCCTGCCGGCCAGTGCTTCCCGTACTGAAAGGAGGCATGGCTGGGTGCTGGACTGTGCCAGCGGGTGAGGAATGCTGGGCACATAGGGGGTGGTGAACTGACCAGGTCTGATTCCTTAAGGCTTGGTGCATGGTTGGGGCCTGGCTTGGAGGTCAGCCCTTTTGCCTGGGACGCGAGGTGTAGCTAAGATCTTCATTTCACCACTCGGGCTGTCTCCGAGATGGGGGTTAAGATAAGCCCATTTAAAGGGCTCCCAAAAACTAAGCTCAGCTTTGACTGGCACCGGATATGTTGGGGGTGGAGACTAGAAGTCTGGCTGAGGGCAGGAGGGGTGAGGGGTGGGTGGGGCAGGGACTCCAATTTAACCTTTGCTTCTTTCTCTATGACCTGCTGAGGCCCCATGTGGGCTCTGGGCTGCACGCCAGCACTGCCCAGGGGCCTGTCAGTTGAGGCTCACTCACCTCCCTTACCTACACCCCTCTGCACCCCAGTATCTTTGTCTTTGGAGTGCCCCCTGAAGTAAGCCATATTTTGGGATGTTTTCTCCCAGATCATAAAGTGTTGGCTGTCCCCTGCCTGCACTGCCTTGCCTCCTCAGAACACACTTCTCTTCCATAGGGGATCAGTCAAGATAGGTGCCCTCAGGAGCTATTTGTCAAGACCGGCTTCTTAGTCCTTGTCCTTTGTAAAGGCTTATCAGAGGCTCGACACCTCCGTTTCGGTCATCCAGGGGTTGCAGTGGTGGGCGGGGAAGTCCACCAATTCTTTCACTAAGTGCTCTTCTAGACAAGGTACACACCTGAGCCCCCCAGCTTCACCAGCAGTCTGGAACAAATTCGCAAACTTGGATGGTGCGGGCTACTTCCCCAGGGCTCAGACAGGAGCCAGACTTCACTTGACCCCATGAATTCATTTCAGGATTGATTACGGCTGGAACTGGCTCTGGCTC